CATCCACCACCCCATCTAAATATTCATCCAACACCACCCGGGCGGCACCCAATGCCTTCCACCACCCCCATATACTCGGCGACCTGCTCCTGGTCCTCGGGGGCCACCCCCTCCATCCACGGTGCTGGGGCGTCCCACCCAGCGGGCTGGATAATGATCGCCTCACTGCGCTGTCCGTCCCGCCCAGCCCGGCCACTCTCCTGCGCGTAATCCAGTAACGTCCGCGGGGTCCCAATATGGATGATGCTGCGGATATTGGGGATGTCCACCCCCATGCCTAATGCGCTGGTGGCGGCGATCACAGGGCTGGCCCCCATGAACCGCGCCAATACCCCGGCCTTGTCCAACTGCTCACTGTAATATGCCTCACACCCCAGCACCCGCGCCATGGCCGTCACCTGCCCGATGATATTCGCATATATGATCACCTTGCCCCCGGCGGCCCGTTGGATACGGTCCTGAATGAATGCCACCACGGCCTCACTCTCAATCCACTGATACGGCCCCCGGCCGACCCCGGGGATCGGGGGCCGCCACACCCGGTATGCCACATTCGGACGGCTGGTCCGGGCCCGGTATATGGTCACGGCGGCCCGGTCATACTTCATCCGCCAGCATAATTCCACCTCCATGCTCGGGGGCAACGTGGCGGTCAACCATACCATCTGGGTGCGGGCCTGGACTAACCGGCCCAGCTGGGCCATCTGGGGCCGGAAATCACGCTGGTTGTTCAACACCACATGGCATTCGTCGATCACGATCCGGTCTAACCGCCGGGTCCACCGCAGCCGGTTCAAAAACGTCTGGAAATCGGGGCTGACTGCGGATTCAGGCGTCACCAACACGATGGATGCGGCATCGGGGGGCCGCCGGCTCTCCCATGGCACGCATGATATACCGAGCTCCTGGCATCGCCGGGTCATATCAGCTCGTAATGCGACCAGCGGCACCACAACAATGGTGGTGCCCCCAGGGGCGGCGAACGCGGGCACCATGAACAGCATGCTCTTCCCCCCGCCAGTGGGCATCACTGCGACCACGGGGCTCTCTCCCCGCTGGATGGCCCGCATGGCCGGGTCCTGGACCCCCCGGAACTGCATGTCGGGCCGCCCGGTCATGCGCTGCGCGGCTGCCTCGAGATCCATGGTGGCCAACTGGTGGCGGCGTTCTATCCAACTGATCTCCGCCTCATCCTCCCATGGGGCCCGCTTGCGCTTCCCTAGTATGGATGGCGTGGGGGCCCCAAACCCTAAAAACTGGTGCCAATCGGTGCTGGATAACCGGAACATCTCCCGCCGGTGGGCGGTGCTGCCAGCCTGTTCCTGGATGCCCCGGCCATACACCATGCCAGCAACGTGTGATGAATGGGCGGCCTGTAAATCAGCAATATGGCCCATCCACTGCTCAATATCCATGCCCTCCTCCGCATCGGCATCCATGGCTGCTGGGGCCGGCTCGGCCTCCTGGATATTATGTGGGAACGCGGTGGATGGCCGCAAAAATCGGCGGCTGATTCCAATGGCGATGTCCCGGTATGCGGCAATATGGATGGCGGTGCCTAGCTGGGTGCGGGTTTCCCGTTTCAACGCCTCCCGGAACCGCTCGGACGACCATTCGCGGCCGGTACTGGGGTCAGGGCCCCATAACCATGCCTGGCTGCCTTGTGCTCCATGGCTTCCCTGCGCGGCCCGGCTTCCCTGCGCGGCCTGGCTCCCCTGTGCGGCCTGGCTGCCTTGTGCTCCATGGCTCCCCTGCGCGGCCTGGCTCCACCGCGCGGTCTGGCTTCCCTGCGCGGCCTGGCTCCCCTGCGTGGTCTGGCTGCCTTGTGCTCCATGGCTCCCCTGCGCGGCCTGGCTTCCCTGCGCGGTCTGGCTCCCCTGCGCGGTCTGGCTCCCCTGTGTAGCCCGGCTTCCCTGCGTGGCCTGGCTTCCCTGCGCGGTCTGGCTTCCCTGCGCAGTCTGGCTACCCTGCGCGGCCTGGCTTCCCTGTGTAGCCCGGCTTCCCTGCGCGGTCTGGTTACCCTGCGCGGCCTGGCTCCCCTGCGGGACCTGCGCGGCCTGCCATGCAGCCAACTGGTCGACAAATGGCATCACCAGCCAGATATACCATACCACCAACTCCCCGACCTCCCGCGGCACATATCGATGGATGATCTTCACATCATTACTAGCATGGAACCCCTTATGATATGCCGTCACAAACGTCACCATGCCATCCTCAATATATATATTCCGCTGTTGACTATTCGCAGTGTTGCAATGCTGAATGCTTAATAGCTCTGGGGCCCGGGCCGGCTGCCCTGCTGTCACATGCACCATAACGGCTAATTTCTCCTTAAACTGGGCCACGCGCTGCCAATACTGCTGGATGGCACCAGGGTGGAATCGGCCCCCCCGCAGGAAATGCCGCTGCATGGCCGGCTCGGCCCGCAGCCGGTCGATCATCCAGTGGGTCCCATCCACCGGCCACTGGGTCCGTGCGTCGTGCAAAAAGTTCCACCCAGCCTGGCTCTGGCTGGGATCGTCATATAATGCCGTCCATGGAATGGGGGGCATCTGCGCATGGTCCTGCATGCATAACTGGCCTAGTATCTCCCGCGCCGCCGTGACTAACCCATGGATGAACCCCCGAAAATCCCCCATGGTGAATGCCATCTGCTGGTATAACAGTTGGTCCTCCCCCATCCATGTCACATGGCCGGGGGCCGTATGATTATAATGGACCTTTAATCCATATGTGCGCCAGTCCAACAATGTCTCCATGGGGCCGTGGGTCCCACGGATCATAAACTGGTGCATCATCCATGTCACCTGCTCCTGGAATGGCCGGCAGCTCGGGCGAATGTGGACCGCGGGCAATGGGTCATCACTATGGATGGATGACGGGGGCGATGATGGGGCCCCTGGGGTGGATGGGGGGTCATCGCTGCCATATCCCTCATCAATCTCCCCGAGTTGATCATCCGCGCTGGCCAGCACCCATTCTGCGCTCTGGTCCTTCCGCGCCCAGGTCTGAATGATCTGCCATGGATTGGGGTCCATCCATAATGCCTTCTGCACCACCATGAATCGGGCCACCTTGATCACGCGGGATAATATCGGGGGGTAGCTCTCGGGGTCGCGCCAGCCGGCCTCACCCTGGCCCAGCACAGCCATGGCGCATACTAATGCACTCTCATATTCATGGCTGCGATGGCGCTGGTTGAGCAGCTCAATGCAAAATTCTAAGCATGCTTTTTCTATAGCAGTCATGGCCCATGCCTCTAGGTCCCCTGGCACTGCGGCCTGGCTGCCCTGGCTGCCTGGGGCCTGGCTAGCGAGCTGCCATAGCTGCCGCCATTTCTGGCGCTGCCGTGCGGTCATCCCATATCGGGGGCTGGCCCAGTCATGCGGGGCCTGGGTCCGGGCAATAAATGCTAATATCTGCTGCCATGGCTGCACATGCTTCTTGATCACGGCCTCATCTATATATGCCAGCAGTGGCCGGTGCGGGGTCTGCCCCTTTTCAGACCGGACGGCTTCCACCCGGATGGCCTGGCCGCAATGCTGGACCGTCCGCTGGCTCTTGCGGGCCACCTGCTCCATAGTATCCCAGATCACCTGCACCCCCTGCTCAGTGGCATCCATGGGGTCTTCCTCCGGGGCTGCCATGCTAGCAAGCAGGTCACGTGCCTGGATGCCCTGCAGGTAGTCAGCCCACCGAGTCATCCGCAGCCAGGGGTTCGCGTCAGTCAACTGGCTGGCTTGGATGGCCTGATCGGCCTTGGCCTGGGCCTGGACCTGCTCCCATGCCTGGATCACGGCATCAACGGTGGCCTGGATGTGGGCAGTGGGTGCGGTCCGGGCTTGCTCCTCAGGCTGCTGGTTGGGGCATGGCACCCAGATATAATGGGACCCTTTTCGGGATGGGAAAAACCGCTGGCAGGTCACCACCTGATATCCCTGCTGGATGGTGATCTGCGCCTGTTCCTGCTCTTGCAGGCGTGATCGACCTCCATGATATGGTGCGGTCCATCCATGGTGCTCACGCCAATGTCGTTTTAACGTGTCAAGTGAACGAGTGATGAATTGGCATCTGGCCTGGTCGCGCTGGCACAGTAACCCATCAGGGTATTCATCCAGGTGGGGGATTGACTGGGTAATCCGACTAGGCCATTGCACAGCATGGGGGTCATGCTCCACACCCTCCCAGCTCTGGACGTCCTGATGGATCTGCTTTGCAGTGGCCTGGGGTAATCGATGGGCCTTCCCCCGGAGATGGCTTTCTACCTCAGCTAGCCACACCCCATGGCGGCAGGACCGGCAGATAATGACTGGTGGCTGGGAAAGCTTAATAAATAACTGCTGTTCCATTCTTAATGGCTCATTTGGATGAATATAATACTATTTAACTGATTATCTGAATGATGATGGGATTCAGCCCCTGAATGTTTGATTTGTGGGCATTGCTTTTTCTATCCGCAGGAACTCAAACCACACCAACTCCTGGGGGTCAAATATGCCCTCACCATGTCTGCAAATCATTGATTTTGATACTGAAATTTGGCTGGATTACTTGGAACTAGTATATCAGTGAGCTGGCTAAATTTAAACTGCCTCCAACCTCCCCTGGAGCCATGGTGGTGGTCATGGGCAGTGCTTTCCAGATTCTCACTGTTTGGCGGCAACTCAAACCACATCAAAATTCCGTACATTAACCACACCCTTACTACAGCTGCAAATCATCGAATTCCCAATTGAAATTTGGTCAGATTATGTGAAACCAGCTAACCAGTAACCTGCCAAAATTTGAAATGCATACGACTCTATCTGGCGCGACGATTGTACCCCAGACGGTTTCGTTGGTCCCTACCCCCATACCCCGGCCGCTAAACCGCTCTGGGCTAAACCCTAGCTTGGTGTCAAGTACAGTCGCCGCCCCCTGTGGGATAGAGGGCGACATTAAGGCTTCCGAGCATTATCCACCAAATTAATTTATAACAAATCAACACAGTTGAACGCAGTTGAGCCGGTGGGGATATGCCTTAAGTGACCACAAATTAGCGTCCGAATGAATGCAGGCGGGTAAGCCCAATTACCCAGTTGAGCAATCCTTAGTGGCGTATTTCCTAAATAATACTAGCTTACGGTTTCTCCCATTTTCTCTCGGGCTAATCCTTTTATCCTCTTCAACTTCCTTGGAACGAGTGTTCCATGATCTTCCTGAGGTTATCGCCAAATTTGACTTGGATTTTGGACCATAAAATTACTGCCGACGAAAATGTCGAACGAGACCATCGAATCTGGGCATCAACCAGGATCTATTCCGAACTCTTCGGTGAGAACCTCATGCGATGAAGTGAATTTTACAGTTCGCTATTATGAGAGCGAGCTGCAGTCAATTGCGCGTGAGAGCTCTCCTCTCAACGTGATGCTGCGGGAATTGAAGGAGTACTCGTCTGTCTTAAGACAGGGTGGTAGTGTTGCTCTGCACAGAGGTGAAACTTTGATGAGCCCAAAACTATCTAAGCAGGTAGAGAAACTCTTTACTCATGAACCAAAAGTGGACGGGCCTCCAAAATCATGGACAGACATTGTGCCCTGGGCTGGACCTGTCCCAAGACGTGTGTGCTCTGCGGCACAACTTACTGTTGGGGATACTCAAATAGAGCTGCACAAGGATGATCGCGACCTTCTCTGTTCTGGTAGACCATGGGCATTTCTTTCTCCCTGGCCCTACCCTGGCGACATTGAAAAGGAATTGCAAGTAGCCGAAGAAACCCTAGCAGATGTTCAGAAGATTAAGGAAATGGTCAATAAAGGTCTGTGTGCCCCTCGATCATACCTTTTTTACGGGGCTGAGAGGGATACGGCCAACTAGTGATCGGTGAAGCGTCTACCCTTGAGCAACACCTCTCCACCCGAAGAGAGCTTCTTTGGGATTACCGCAACGACCAAATGTATATCACATCCAAAGATACTGCGATCTCTTGCATTCCTGAAGCTTGCTCCCGCTACCCCCATGAAATCCGGCCGCCTCGCGAGTCTGAAATTGCGACCTACCTGAATGGGGGCGCTTCAGATGCGGGCATACAGCCTTCCCAGTTTGCAAATCCAGCGTCTCCCAAACATGACGGGAGCCTGGTTCTTCCCACAGAGGTCGTCCCGATGGACCTGAGCGATGGGCACCCCGGTGGTTCGAATACCCAGAGCCTTCACGGATCGCCCATGGACCACGGGTCAGCGCCTCTTGACAGAGCGAACCACTCTAGTCAGACGATGGCGACAGAGAAGGCATGTATGGAACGGCCCGTCTAAAACAGACCAAAAGCATGTTGCACTGACCTCATTAAGCGCCGGGATTTACGTCCATCGCAAACATCATCACGCCGACTCGCAACACCGAATTGTTCACACCGATAAATGACGAGAGACGGCTGCCTGTGTTTATCAAGAGGCTGGTAACGTAGGTTCATCGATGTACCGCGACCTTGCGCGCCCTCATATGCTGATTCTTTCATTCAGGGCGTTAAATGACCAGCAAAACCAGCAAATCATGAGGTGGTCGGAAGACGGAAACACCGTAGTTATAGTGGATGAGCAGGAATTAACAACGAAACTACTTCCCGATTTCAATACGACCACTTATTTCTCCTTTACACAGCAGTTAAGGTTGCACGGTTTCCGAAAAGTCGAGAATGGCTACGAGCACCCACTATTCAGACGTGGCCGTCCCCAAGATATGTACTTAATTCGAAGGAAAGGTGGGAAGCCTCTGCCGCCATCCTCGTTCGATTCTCGAATGCTCTCCCCATCTGACGTTGCAAATGTACGGTCCCCCAGCTCTATATCAACTCCAGCGAGCTCTGCGGGTTACGGCAGTGCACGGTCGTCCCCAAACCACGTACATCCATTGAGTGCGGGAAACGGTGTCTCGAATGGGGCTAATTCTCATGGACAGAACTATAAAGTCGTCAAACGAGGAAGAAAACCGAAGGCACACATGCAAGCCCAGCAATATAGTGATTGGGGTGCTTGACAATTATACAGCACAATCTGCTTGACAGTCAGCGCTCGAAGTTGAGACAATTAACCGTGCAGATTCTAAAGCTACATCAGATTCTTGAGGTCGAAGTCTAGTACCATATATGTTAAGTCACTATAAGCCCTGACTTCGTTAGCTCGCGCCTTATTTGGGACATGACACCTACACGACCAGAGAGTTGCCCCAGTGGTTGAGGGGGCTTCTAATTATCCAATAACAGAAGGAGTTAATGACAAATTCTGCCCTCCGATTTGGAAAATGTCTCTATATGTGCGAGATATGCAATTGCGTAGATGAAAAGAATCTATACATTGATATAAAGGAGAAGGAGTTAATCAGATGGGGTAATTTCGGAAGGCCACGGGGAAGGGGAGGCGGTTTTAGCAGAGACGAGACTTAACCCTTCGGGTGCGCTGCCGCGCTATCCCGCTCACTTGCGGGTCCCTCCCGTATCCAAATTTCGCCCGAAAGGGCAAAATCGTTGAGTCTCAAGTCTCAACTTTTTGGAGCAATGTTATATCCAGGTGGATCCAAAAAGCTGAGACCAATCATACTCTCTGTACTGTCACGCAGTACAAACTTCCTACACACCTACCTTCCATATCGTCAGTACTCATCTTCATCAACCTCAATTATCATCTAATTGAACATCACGTTGCGTAAAATAAATAACTTACTCCTATACACGCAAGCCCTCACCCCCATGAAGGGGGTTCGGATCGGGCTTCGCCCCGCAAAGCCTTAGCCACCATGCCCTCAACACCTGAGAACACAACACGATGCGTCAATTCATCTCCAACAAACCTCTCACCCTCAAACTCTCTCAGATGCAACGGCAAATCCATTTCACCACGACCGAACCCACGTCGAACATATTTGTCATAAGCCTTCAACTCACGACCACGCCGACACCGGACAACGCACATCTGCTTCCGAAGAAGAGAACTCTCAGGGAACAAGCAATACATGCCATCCCACGTAGCAAAATTCATTATATGAGTAGACCAGAACCTCGTAAGGACGTAGACCAACGGGTCACAAGGAACAATCACAAAGTCAATCCTCCTTCCAGACACGACATGTTTATACTTGACCACCTACCCAACGTTAACCAAACTCCACTACACACCAAAGAAAAAAAACAGACCTCTGCCCCTGCATACCCGGACGCACCCACCGGGTCGCAAAGCCCATACCCTTCCCCAAGAAGGTACTCATGCCACTCAACCAACTCCCCACGCCTCAACATACGACGTCCGATAAAAAAATCAAGGTCACTAGGGACCCATGGCGCAGACGACCCAACGCGCACACAGCTCTCCAGCGTGTGCAACACCGAGCTGTCCGAAGCCACCGCACCTGTCAACATCATCAAAGAACGACACTGATCAACTGGCGGACCGCTCAGTACCGAGTCAACATGAATTGTTGACTTCTTCTTCTTCTTCTTCTTCTTCTTCTTCTTCTTCTTCTTCTTCGTCGTCGGTGTACAGTCGTTCCCGAAATCGCCTTGACCAATACATACTTATTAACTCTTTTCCGGACCCACTTCCAAGACCTTAGTGTAGATCTTTCATTGAGCTGCCCACGGTACTCTGTAATGAAGGGACACCGTAGAGCGAGCTCGTATGGTACAATACTCCGGGACGTAAAATACAGATATGTACAATAATCTAGCCTGGGTTGGGGCTGTTCCTGACCCCATTGATATTCACATAATTATGCCGCCCGTCACCGCTATAAGGTCATACGACAAAGGCGAACTAACGCGGCGGTATCACATCTGATGAATCAATCCTGGACACGTGTAGTTTCTGTTAGCGCCCAGGTGCTTAAGAGGAGGGGCTGCATTACATTCATTTAGGCCAAATATATCGGGGGTTGCGCCTCCTACTCCTCCTTTCTCTCTTTTAACTAACCCTTCTGTGTGGCATTCTATGCTTTAGATTCTGTGTTCTCGACTAAATCACAGTCTACCTTCATCAATTCTCATAAGATGTCAGGCTTAGAAGTGATCGGCGGTATCTCTGCGATCATTTCCCTCCTCGATGCCTCGATCAAGATCTACGATAGCGCTCGGAATGACATTAAGTTATCAGCCACATTCGAAGTTGTCCGACGCCGGCTCCCAGTCCTTCTTCATATTCTTGAGACTTGCAAAAACAATCTAGAATCGAGAAAAGACGCAATACCTGAAGATGTCTGTGAGGCTTTAGAGAGATGCCTTGACGCTTGTGATGCAAAAGCGTCTAACTTGAGAGGTATTTTTGAGAAGATCATACCCGGTGAAAGCGATACATGGGAGAAGCGATATCTGAAGGTTTTACGCAAGCTTGGCAAAGGAAGCAGGGTCGAAGAGCTCATGAGATCAATCACCGAAGATGTCCAGGTCATTGTCAACCATAATGCGGTTCGGTCTGGGGATCCACAACAAAAGCTTGAGCTCGAAAATATCATCCAAGAGATGAATGAGCTCGAACCTTCAGTGCCCGACAAAAATAAGACGATGACTTTCCATAGCGGCGGGGGGGCACAAACAAATAATCTGAACACTGGCGGTGGGCAGCAGATCAACAACAATGCGCCCATTACCACTCAGAATTTTGGTCCTGGTAAGACACAGGCATGATAGGATACCCTATATACATTACAGAGAGGCTTTAGTCTATAACTATAGCCATAAAGGGGTTGTGAACATAACCTAAGGCTGTACCGGGATTTTTATCCTAACAAACTTTCTTTATCATTGCTTGTTGCCTTCCGTACTGTCCAGATATGTCGGGTCCTCAATTTGCGCATCAGATGCGCATCTCAGGCTCGTGAAAACGTTGACTGATAGTTAACCATAGTCACTCTTAGGTACAAAGAAGACTTTAGCTTCCGCGGACCCGTTGGCATCAATCTCGGTCAAGCGCCTTACATCGCCTCTGAACTCTTTGTCGGTCGTGGCCTCGAGCTTGATGAGATCACAAAAGTTCTATGCCCAAACCACAAGGCTCAAAGGCAACAGCGCCTAGTTCTCGGCGGTATGGGTGGTATTGGCAAGACCCAGCTTGCTATCGCCTACGCAGAATCCGTCCGTGGATCTTATAGCTCTGTTTTCTGGCTTAATGCAGTATCTGAGGCCGCATTGAAAGACAGTTTCCGATCGATAGCTGGCCTTATCTTCGATATTGAGGAGCCTGGTTTGTTAGAGGACAAACAAGTTGTGAGACGCGTACACCAATGGCTATGTACCCCCGAAAACACTGGATGGTTATTGATCTTTGACAACTATGATGACCTTGACCAGTTTCAGATTGACTGCTATTACCCACCTGCTTCTCATGGGGCTATTGTGGTCACCTCTCGAAGACCAGATCATGTTGCTGGGACCCCTCTTCACATAAAGCCTCTTCAGAATGTTGAAGATAGTCTCGCAATCCTACAAACCCGATCAAAACGAGAGAATGTTCAATCAGGTATGGTATATCCAAACACATTTAGGATCCACTAACCACTACCGTTAGATCCTCATGCAAAGCGCCTTGCAGAGCGACTTGCGGGTCTTCCTCTTGCTTTGGCCACTGCCGGGACATATCTTCAGCGTAGTACCTTCACTTTCGAACGCTACCTTAAAGAGTATGAAAAACGTTGGAACATTAACCCTCGCCGACCCCTACAGCTCAAGGAGTATCAGGAGCGCACGCTCTACACAACTTGGGATCTGTCATACTCTGCCCTAGAAAAGGAAGATCCGGACGCGGCGAAGATACTAAAATTACTCGCCTACTTTGATAACCAGAGACTTTGGTATGAGCTTTTCCATGCCGGAATTACCGAGAGTTCCCCCGAATGGCTTCGTGAAGTGATGGCAGACGATGTAAATTTCGCTGAAGTGATGGGTGTCCTAGCCGGATACTACTTCCTCGACGTTCACCAGATATCAGATTCATGGAGCATGCATAACTGCGTGCACGACTGGACATTAGCAGCACTTAATAAGGACGTCGACGCAAAGCATTATTGGTATGCTTTTGACTGCATTTCTGCGTCTATAAATGATGATAACGCTGATGGCTTCGTAAACCGCTCTTACTCTCCCTTGGCTGCTCATGCTACGCGGCTGGTATTACAACGCTTCTGCCAGGATAACATCATATGTAATATTGCAGCGCATCGACTCGACCAAGCTTCACGTATTGCGGAACTACTTCGAAAGCAAGTACGCCTTCTTACCGCGGAGCAGATGTACCAACGAGCACTGGCAGGCTACGAGAAGGCCCTCGGTCCAGATCATACGTCCACTCTCGGTACAGTCCACAACCTTGGTCTTCTCTACTCTGATCAGGGGAAGCTGAAGGAGGCAGAGGAGATGTACCAACGAGCACTGGCAGGCAAGGAGAAGGCCGTCGGTCCAGATCATATGTCCACTCTCAGTACAGTCCACAACCTTGGGAATCTCTACTCTGCTCAGGGGAAGCTGAAGGAGGCAGAGGAGATGTACCAACAAGCACTGGCAGGCAAGGAGAAGGCCGTCGGTCCAGATCATACGTCCACTCTTAGTACAGTCCACAACCTTGGTCTTCTCTACTCTGATCAGGGGAAGCTGAAGGAGGCAGAGGAGATGTACCAACGAGCACTGGTAGGCAAGGAGAAGTCCGTTGGTCCAGATCATACGTCCACTCTCAGTACAGTCCACAGCCTTGGTCTTCTCTACAAAAATCAGGGGAAGCTGAAGGAGGCAGAGGAGATGTACCAACAAGCACTGGCAGGCTATGAGAAGGCCCTTGGTCCAGATCATACGTCCACTCTCAGTGCAGTCCACAGCCTTGGTCTTCTCTACAAAAATCAGGGGAAGCTGAAGGAGGCAGAGGAGATGTACCAACGAGCACTGGCAGGCTATGAGAAGGCCCTCAGTCCAGATCATACGTCCACTCTCAGTACAGTCCACAACCTTGGGAATCTCTACTCTGATCAGGGGAAGCTGAAGGAGGCAGAGGAGATGTACCAACAAGCACTGGCAGGCTATGAGAAGGCCCTCGGTCCAGATCATACGTCCACTCTCAGTGCAGTCCACAACCTTGGGAATCTCTACAAAAATCAGGGGAAGCTGAAGGAGGCAGAGGAGATGTACCAACGAGCACTGGCAGGCTTCAAGAAGGCCCTCGGTCCAGATCATACGTCCACTCTCAGTGCAGTCCACAGCCTTGGTCTTCTCTACAAAAATCAGGGGAAGCTGAAGGAGGCAGAGGAGATGTACCAACGAGCACTGGCAGGCTACGAGAAGGCCCTCGGTCCAGATCATATGTCCACTCTCAGTACAGTCCACAACCTTGGGAAGCTCTACTCTGATCAGGGGAAGCTGAAGGAGGCAGAGGAGATGTACCAACGAGCACTGGCAGGCAAGGAGAAGTCCGTTGGTCCAGATCATACGTCCACTCTCAGTACAATCCACTGCCTTGGCCTTCTCTACTCTGATCAGGGGAAGCTGAAGGAGGCAGAGGAGATGTACCAACGAGCACTGGCAGGCTATGAGAAGGCCCTCGGTCCAGATCATACGTCCACTCTCAGTACAGTCCACAACCTTGGTCTTCTCTACTCTGATCAGGGGAAGCTAAAGGAGGCAGAGGAGATGTACCAACGAGCACTGGCAGGCTTCGAGAAGGCCCTCGGTCCAGATCATATGTCCACTCTCAGTACAGTCCATAACCTTGGTCTTCTCTACAAAAATCAGGGGAAGCTGAAGGAGGCAGAGGAGATGTACCAATGAGCACTGGCAGGCTACGAGAAGATTCTCGATCCAGCTCACAGCAGGATACAGCGGCTTAGAGAAATCTTAAATCATCTAAGCTTTGCAGATTGAGAATATTATATTATAACATCCTCCATTTAGATGATTACTGCTTTAACCTGATACATATATTCTTAGTAGTAGGCTTAGCACATATTTTGTCTACGGTTGTGGCACAAAGACAACTGCCCTACTGACCATATAGAACGTACTGTATCTCAGAATCATTCACATTGTATTTGTTTCCAATCTCTATTAAAAATCATGGTCTTGGCGAGTCAGGAGGGATCTGACCTTGCTAAATAACGGTCGCGATTGTGAAAGATCCTACGCACGGTGTTATCGTGCACGACAAGGAGAATAGAAGCATCCTAGCAGATCATCAGATGACACGGCCCCAGGTCGCCTTCGGCACAGGACATGAGACGTGTAGCGATCCACCATTCGATTCCATGGAATTCCATATGGTTTCTGTTCGTACCCGTCATGTAATCTTTCGTCGCATGTTACCGTAACATTTTACTGAGGCCCTCAGTTTAATTCGGCCCGCTCAATAAATGATCTGCGCTAAGGCCTTGGCAGTGGGACCAGGGAAAGAGATTCTCAGTGTATGTTGGTCAAGGCGATTTCGAGAATGGCTGTACATGGACGTGAGTTGTCGACAGTGTTCTTCTCGCAATGTATACGCGGAATCCCAATATTGCTGGGACTGTGAGCACTTGGAACGGGCTCTCTCTTCGTCAAGCTATGTGCAGCGGTTTCCTCAATACTTTGGTCATCGGCGGTGTGCTAAATGCGCTCGTCCTTACGTGGGGTTCTTCCTTGATTCGAAAGAACCAGGTTGTCCTTGCTCTGATTGTCTCCATGAGGCGACGGAGGTGCTGAAACGGGTGGTCGCTCGTTATACTTCTCAGACATGATGGAAAACTACATGAAGGTGAGAGAAAGAGATATACAGATATGGCGAAGATATAAAATGAACAAAATGTTAATACTAACTTATAGGTACTGGACACGACGGACCGGGATCGCATCCCGTGCTGCTCTCGGGCGGAGCCGCAGGATCGTCTCGACGTCAGGAGGATCGAGTCCAAGTGGCCTACTTGGTGGTGGGACTCCCCGCGTTATACAGCGGGGATTGAAAGAGGAGAAAAAAGAGAGAGAGAGAGGAAATAAAAAGAGAAGAGAGATGCAAGTGTACTTGGGTGCAGAGGATTGTGATGAAACAGAAGGTTGTTAATTCATGTACATGCAGACACAAATAAGCAAGTCGGGCAAATATATATATTTCTGTTGTTTTCGTTACTTTGAATCTAGATGAGAAAATTTGGGGGGCCCAAGGCTTTGCCTGGGGGGGCGAAGCCCTATCTTTACAAAGGCAGTGAGTTTATAATATGCGTGAGACTCACAAAAATTTCCCCTTTGGGGGAAATTACAGAACGGGAGGGGCCCGCGAGTAGGCGGGAGGATCCGCCCGCCATTGGCGGGACGGCGCGGCACCGCGCCCGAAGGGGATAGTCTCCCGCAGGATCTTCTCGAGGACCATAACTCCTTTCAATCGTTCAAGATGCCCATCTCTTTGCTTCACAGAAGCCTTCCGAGTAAAGCATTGCCACTTCTGTGCACCCGCCCACTGCTTGCGTCCACACTCCTCCATGACACAGCCAATGAACGATGACAACTCATCGTCGTCAGTTTCAATCGTCACTTTTGGAGAACGATGAAAAATAAGATCTTCAGGTATCATCAAGCTATGATATCTCATAGCCTCACCAAGTGAATTCTCTCTTATGAAGAGTTATTTAGTTCATTGGAGATTAGTTTTAATCTTTTCCATAGGTTGGTCCGTGTTTGATATCGAGGTTGTTGGCAGTATAGCCAGGCAGAAGTGAAATATATATATATATGCGCGACAGAGTGTTTGTTCTTATCCGTAATCAAGATTTCTATGAGAAAATTCGGGGGGCCCCAGGCAAAGCCTGGGGAGCGAAGCCCGATCCGAAACCCCTTTATGGGGGTGAGGGCTTGCGTTTACGAAGGTGAGTTCTTTATGCTACGCAACGTGATGGTCAGTTATGTCGTAAGTGAGTGTTGATGATGGACACTGACAATGAGGAAGTGAGAGTTAGGGAGGTTGTACTGGGTGACAGTACAGTTTGAATTGTTTGTCTCAAGTTTTTGGATCCACCTGGATTATAACATTGCTCCAAAAAGTTGAGACTTGAGACTCAACGATTTTCCCCTTTTGGGCGAAATTTGGATACCGGGAGGGGCCCGCGAGCACTCGATTCGCTAGCCTACCGGCCGTCCAACGCAGACATGCGTTGATCAGCTCTAAGCACTCGTCGCTGTACACTATACGATTTTGCCCTTCTGGGTGAAATTTGGATACCGGGAGGGGCCCGCGAGTAGGCGGGAGGATCCCCCCGCCATTGGCGGGAAGGCACTTTAGTGCGCCCGAAGGGGTGCGTCTTGTGTATCGAGACGGTATTGCCGGGAGGAACGAAGGCGGTGGGGGCACACCGCCTCCCAAGAAGGAGATTCTTGGCATAAGACTGTGAGACTGGTAAATTACTTGATAAGGAGATTCTTGGCATGGCGGGGTAGTATACGTGAGTACACGTGAGGAAGGTCCGCAGGACGCTAGTCTGAGGATAACGCTAGTGTCAGTATCATATCTAGTATGACAGGTATAAGTATCTGTTATTATTTGCTATTGTCAGCATGATTCTGGTGTGAGCAGATTTTGTTATAATCTGTTTGTTGTTTTTATGATGCGTTACACGAACGCTAGTGAGGGCCCTACCCCTGAGGGTAGGGTGTTTGGACAGTTTTTTTCAAGTGTTGATGGATGTCTTCATGTTATGAAGACGACTAATACAGTCGCTACTGGTAGTGCTGTTCTTCACAGTCTGTTAGACTCTCCCGGTTGGGTACCGGGTGATCTTGATTTGTTTGTTCAAGGTCGGTCTTTGGGTGAAGACGGCATGGTGCCTTGGTTTGATTATCTCAAAGGAGAAGGGTACGGACTGAGTCGTCAGTTGGGACAGGGTGGTCGGTCTTTGGACAGGTG